CACGACTGGAAGAACAGTCTTACAAATACTTTGAGAGAAGTAAAATCTGTAATTTACCATTAGACACTTTTCTATTACACTGCATATTCCAGTAGGGCAAAATCTTACAGAGAAATTTGTTAGCTTGGATATGAGACAGGAAAAAAAAGAAGGAAGAGATATGAGAGAAAGGTTGAGCAGAAAGTACTAACAACAACATTCAACAAAAGTACTACCCCGTTTTCTTTTGCCACAGCTTCCACTGGAAAAAAAATATATTCCAAATCAATACTAAGCCTTTTGTAAAGACAGCAGTTTCATGTTTTTTTTTTCTATTTGCAGAAAAAAAAGGCAATACTTACCTTGGATTGTTGTACAGTTGGTGATTCCTGAGGAAACACAGACACTAAAAAGAAAAAATTCAAAAATTAAAAGGTTGCCATCCAGCAGCAAGATATTTCTAGAACATTTTTCAGGTGTTTTATGGCACACTTAGCATAACCAAGAGTACAAAAATGTACAAACTTGTCACTTGATCTTTGTTCATATAGTAATTGTTTTTCTGGCTGTAATGTTTTCCAGTATTGATTACTGTTATTTCATTCCAACACAATCATCACTTTGCTGCTTTGAAATACATTGTCTTAAGCTATCATGAACTGCTTTGTGCTCTAAGTTGCAATAGTGCAATGATAGTTGCTTTTGTGGGAGTTAATTTTCAAGCCAGATCAGTTATTTTGCCTCAGCTCACCATGTGGATTCGTAAATATCAATGCTATCATTAGCAAGGCACAGAGTGAGCAGTTAAGACTTGACTATCTCTTTCAGAGATAGCACAGATCCTTTGAGATTAGGATGATTTTGAAATCTCACTCTTAAATGCATATGAAAGACAGATTAGTTCCCATCTTCCCAAAAAGCCAGCAGTTACTCTAGAGAAACATCCAGAATCATGTCATTGTATCATTTGTGACATTTCTGAAAGTAAATGTAATTATGTTACTAATATACTTACTAAAATGACATCATCAACTTGAAATCTGGAGTATTTCAAATTATGGATGAAAGTTTAGAATCTTTAAGTCTTGGCAGTGCTACTTCAACAAATTTTACAGAGTTTAAGTCTCATAAGGAATGAATTGACATTATTCCTCTGATTTGTACAGATAAATACTAATATATATCGTCATTTAAAAATATATATAATAAGTATTTTATATATCTTTATTTTAAAATGCTTCTGTGTTTATTAAAACATGTGCTTAAGGCCTAGTAAAGTAGATAATAGGCTCAGCATACATAAATTCTTTCATGAATGCCAGCATGTGTTTTCACATTTCTACATACCATTTTGTACAGTTCTCTATTACAGGTATTTCTTCCCCAGGTTCATAGTAAGTTCCATTGAAGTAACACCCACACTCATCTCCGGTCTCACATTTATTTGTCTCTTCATTAAAAATGGGCTTCTCTGGAGGGCATCTTGGGTAGCAGCCTGTTGAGAGCACAAGTAGTACAAAGTACATGACAAAGAAAAGCATAAACAGTTAACTCAATGAAAGGATATCTTCTGAAGGTAAATCGCCATCATTAATAATTGATTCTCACTGAATCAAGCATCATGAAAGAAATGGAAAATACCTGTTGGCTTCAAATTAATCCTTGGACAATTGAGCTTTCCAAAAGACAACATCTCCCCTGACAATACTGAGGTGAGGAAGCTTAAATAAGACTCTACTCATGAAAATCAGGAAAGCTTTCTTTCACACATGGGAACAACCCCTAATTCACACTATATTCTAGAGGCAGGTGGTAATTTTTAGACAAAAAAAAATTTAACCAACTTCCGGTATTGAAATGTGATCTCTTTCCCAATACGGAAGTGGATTTAATAATAAACTAGATTTTCATTACAACTTTTGGAATAATAGACCTTGATCATGTACTTTTAAATAGACAAGCTATCTCCACCCAACACATATATTTTATCTGCATTTTCTCAAACCCTGTGCCAGGGACTTAGACCCTACCCGCAAGGGATTAATCACCTTTGGTCCTCACTTCATTTCATAAAATTACTATATCCTGCTTCCAAATAAACAACTGTCATAAAATGTCCAGTTCGTAATTACATCAAGTCCTCTTTATACTATACTGGAATCCTAAACAGATAATCTAAACCAATCTGTTTCAAAATATGAGGCACCTTAGTTTTGTTTATCAAGTATGTTACTAGCAGTACAAGTATTAGAACAGCCAACTAAACTCAGAGCAATTCTTTCCAAACCCTAGATTGAAGATAGCGACTTGCGACCCAGACCAAAAGAAAAGACTGTGTGGCCAAACATGCCTGTTCTCTTCAACCTTATCCTGTGGTATAATAGAAGACATTTATATCCTCACTTACAGTCTTAGACTGCTACAGTTCCTGTAACTTTACTATTACAAACTACTACCAAGACAAGTTATCAAGCCTATAGTCTTTCTATATTCCTGCTTGCATCACATCTCTACATCCTTTAGGGGGCTCAATGGGATTTAAATGGTGTCTGTACCATATGTTAACCCTCTATGTGGAATGGAATGCAGAATAACCTATCTAAGCTTCACATCTTTATCTTAAAGCCTAAATAAAAACCACAAATGAGATGCACTAAAAAGCAAAGTACTAGCCCCTGCACCATATGTTGTGATTACCATTAAGAATCCAATATATAGTAACATGAGTGTGTTTGACACCAGGGATATTTTCCACTATAATGACAGTAATACATTGCATAGTAATTTAGTAAAAATCAAGACACATCTGACATAACAATGATTAGATTAGAAAACAAACAAGTAGTAACATGCTCATTTATCATGAAAAAGGTTTTCCTTCTCTTGAGATACCTTAAGATGGGATACAAAATTACAGTGGCAAAATAATTTTGCAAGCTTTAAGATATTATCCATGACTTAGTTCTATGTATACTAGCCTGTGACTGCCATCCACTGATGTTTACAAGTAACAAATTATATCCCATAAAATATTTATGTGAGCCTGAAGACATCAGTTCAACCTACAGGAACATTAAATGATACCTGAACAATGTTTTATAAAATGAAAGATAAAAACAGTCACGAATTTATTACCTTCCAGATATGGTACTGAGAAATTTGTGCTGACATCATTGATCATCTTGCAGGTTATGATGTTACTGCCACAAGGCTCATAGTGCCACTCACACTCATCACGAGGGTTGTAGTAGTCACAAAATATTGCTGATGAGAAAGAGCAGAGGCCGATCAACAATATAATTGCCAGAATTCTTATCTTCAGATAAGATTGAGCTCTTCAGAGCTCAGTTCTTATCTTCAATGGTAGACGCTAAACAAATATACAAAATAAGCTGGCACTAATTCTTTTGAAAGACGAGCCTTGAACCTTCTACTCTACTGAACTTTTTTGAGGAGTGAGGGAGGTTCATAACTCTGGAACACAAAATTTTGCTATTAAACACCAGAAGAGCACCTTTTGTCTTGATTCAAATCACAAAACAAACAAACAAAATCCCAGAATTGGGATCTACAGAATTGGTGTAGATTTTAATTTAAAATAAATAGAAAAATTCTGTGATTTTTTTCTTCCCTGTCTATTAGCAAACTCCTAAATACTCTTGTGGTATATTTAGTGCAGTTTTGCCTTGCTGTATCATGAGTCAACTGTCATCTCCAGCAGACTAAGAGCAAGTATATGAAATTTTATGGATAAACTTAAATAGAATCCAACCTACTTGACTATGGACAGAGAAAGGAAGTTTTATACTCTGTAGAAGTTTGTCAGCTCTGATTTAATTTCTGTTTCAGTGACTGTTTCTTAAACTTGAAAACTAGCCTTCTGAATCAGAATAGATTTTTAAAATTCAAAAATTTGATGTTTCTGGCACTTGGAATCTCTAAATTTTCTTTTGAATATTGTTTTGGGGAATATTAATTGAAATACTATCTTAATTTGTTTTATGACATACTAGTATGAGCATTAGCACCACTCATGGACGCTGCTTAAAACACTCAATACGTACAAGGGGCACCTAAGCAGAAGTACTTCAATATACAATTGCTGAAACCAAATTCTGAAAATGAGATGTTCCTGTAAAGAAAAAGCTATGAGGAATTCCCATTCACCAACTAGAAAGGAAAATGCATGGATCATTTCAAATCTAGCCTTAATATGTTAAAAGATACGAGGTTCATTTAAGCAGTAATAGATATTCACATATCCTGTTTGTGTATCTCAATTCTGAGATACACCAGTGTTTGTTACTAGTTTAACAAACTAGATTTAGTTCAATAAAATAACTGGTTCTGTTCCTTCCCCGATACGCTGAGAAAATAAATCATGTTGTACAGCCAATACAACAGTACAACCCTGCAATAACAGAACTCCTGATTTATTTGATATGCTCTTTGACAACAGCCAGCAGGATACAGTTGGGATAACTGTTAACTCACGGCATATATCAGGAGTTCTCCAGAACACACAGGCTTTAGCCTTGATACATTCTTGAGCATACGCAGCAACTGCCGAACAGAAGCATTCACAATCTCCACCACTGTCACAGGAGCAGGCATCATGAACACAGGCTTCATAGAACGGGGTTGGGTCCACCTGTTGATAAAATGATGCCGCAGTTCATCTCCAAAGTAGTTTTCTAACTGATAAACTTGCAAGCTACCAATAAGACCTCTTGAGGTATGAGGATCTGAATTGGGCAGATATTAGACTATTTCTAAGAATTAACAAATCTTGAATAAACATTATAGGCTGGATACTGCTTACTGTTTTTCAGATAATAATAGATTTGAAGTAGCACACCATCTTCATAAGCTGTTAAGATCTTTTATAAGTTGTTAAGATCAAACAACATCTTGGTAGTTCCCACATACTCTCATAGAAATTCCATTTTATTGCTCTGAAAATCTACCAGGGCTGATGCCAATGAAAGTTTATCTTCTAGCAAGCTTAGCCAGCCAAGCATTAAGCAACCTCAGAAAGGCTGCATTTTACCATTTTACAGCAAATATGAAGCAGAGTTCTGTGCTTGCCCTCCCGCTTTTTTTCCAGTTTATCCAATCACACATTTGCAAAGCTTTGCCACTTTTTTGTTTTAGGCTACACAAGGGGAAACTTGGATTTTAGTCCCTAAAGGAATCAAAAAGAAAAATATATTAAATCATTGTGAAAAGCTTTCTGATTTTTCCACTGTGACATAACCACAAATTATAGTGAGTATTACCAGTATTTCAGATCAGAGACAAGGAGAGTAGATTACACTGTGCTCTGAAAGCAGTAAGCCTGACATAGTATATACACTTCTGTGTACTGCAAACTTAGCTGAAGATCACCCTATTTAACTGTTTCTTTATTCATCTTTTTCCTGTTATAAGATACTGTGCTGTCCCATTGCATACGGATCTCTACCAACCTTGGAGTGACAGATTTCAAAGACTTCGCTCTGGATTAAATAGCATTCTTTCTCTGCCCAGGACTTGCGATGCGGTTTCACACTGCAGGGCAGGATCTCTTCTGTGACATCTGGGCAGGTGTAAGACTGCTTCCAGGAATTCCCAAACTCCAGAGCACTAGTATCCTGCAATCCACTCCTTGTTGTAAAGTCATTGTTGGACTTGCCATCAAAGTTGCCACAAAGACCACATACTTTGCCCTGGAAATGAACACATCCACAGCATTTAAATATATCAGGGAAGTGAAAAAGCACACTCTAGTAAAAGTAAGAAAACACTGACTTTTAAGAAATGGCAAATCCTCCCTGAAATTGCGTATTTTCATTTTTAGTTTCAAATCATTTTTACAGAAATTGAATGTGTTTGCCTACTTAGCAAACTACTCAATTGCCCATGTCTTCCCTCCTTGAAACCTATTGCATATCTCATGCACTTCCATGTCCCTGAGGTCTTTCATCCTACAACTAACACTCAAGAGCAGCTAAACTTCTTTCAGCTGAGAAAAATAGATTTATATTTCCCATTTGCAACAATTATGCTAATTTAGACAAATACTGTTAATATAGACTTGAGAATTTGAATCTGCTCAAAACCATTTATCTTAAATGACATTGTTTACTTATCTACAGAGGAAAAAAAAAACTCTTTTTGTTTTTGTTAAAAGAACTTTGTTACCAACCCTCTGGAGCGGATTTTCAGTAGTGCTAATTAAGGTACATAAGCCCCCTCAAGGAATGGTGTTTCCTTGTTTGTACAACCCAGCATCTCCACACTCAGTCCAAAGAATTTAGTAGCCTATAATTCAGCATGCTGTTTTTCAGAAACCTGAAATCTCCATATATTGCAGAGATAATTTTGGTTTAACTCAGGGCTGAGGTTCTATGCAGATTTCCGAGTGTGTAAACACTCAGTTTGCATTCCATAAATTTGGTTGCCTAGCTCTTAGTATTCACGAACTTAGAGCACCTTAGATGTTTTGCTTTATCGCAATTATGTACTATGCATCACCTGCAATGCTTTGAAATGGAGCGCAGGAAACTACAACAGCACCCACTACAAGCTAATACAAATAATGCAAGCTACATGTGAATCATCAATGCACAGAGGTTATAACAGCAAAAGGAGAGAGACAGAATAGGAAATCATTTTGGTTTTCTTATCTCATCCTGCTACTTTAGAAGAAGACAGACAGCTCCTTGCCTGGTAATCAGCAGTCAGTTTGATGAAAATAGTAGTCTTCTTATCCCAAATCAACATCACACCATTGCTAGCCTCAATAACAAGGTAGAGACCAACTGTCCTTTTTCTGTACTGCACCTCATCACCAATATCTCGCTGAATTTCTTTATAATCCTTGTTTTCCAACTTCAGTTCAGTGTTCTGAAATGTAAAAAGATGAAAAATATTACCACACTAACTCTTATAAAGAGATAACATACTATAGCTCCTTAATGGTACAACCAATTCAGAGACTAAGAAGTCAAAGTCTATGGACTAACTTTACAAGATGACAGAGCTAAAACAGGACTCAGTACCTGAGAACTGACCTGTTTACACACCGATAAACTTTACACGTGATACATGGCTTTAAAGAGATGGCTTAGTACTTCAACACATAACCCTTTTCCACTAGCTACAAATCATTTAAGTATCATTACTCACCCCTAGGAACATTTTAATAGCCTTTGAGCAGGTCACTCCTGTAGTTCCACATGGGACATTCTCTGTGATGACACTGAATGAGCTGCTAGAGTTTTTGTCACCACAAAAATCCTATTAAAAAAGGAACGAAAGAGAATAAGAAAATTAAGTATAACATTTTATTTTTATTTCAATCTAAAAATTACTTAAGTGTAATTATTTAAATATACCCAATGTATAAATTGTTATAATTTTCCTATATAAAATATTAAACATATGTGCACTAACACACATACACGTATATATATGCACACACCCCTATGAACACACATAATTACAGTAATTAACTGTTAGTGACAAAACCTGGGAAACTATCAGGATGATAAAGCAAAACAAGGAATATGCCTTAAAAGAAAAACATTCTTATTTCATAATCTCAGAATTTTTATTAAATTCAAATACCTGGAGATGACCTGTCAGCTATCACTATAAACTAGTCATCTCAGACATAAGCTGTGACCACTTCATCACACAACTTGTCTGGGCTGAAAATACAGAATTTATTAATGCAGAAGCTGCCAATGCCTCTGAAGCAGCAAAACCAAACAACAATGAATGACAAAACTACACAGGAAAGCAGACTTTCAAGGCAATTTGAAAGCAATTTAGGATGGTAATTCAGCATTCCTGATGAATATTACCTGAGTAGCTACATATTCACAACTCCCATCAAAGTCATAGAATTTTCCATCAAAGGTGATATAATGGCCGCTTCCGTATATGGTACAGGTCCCATAGCAGACACCGACTTTGGTACAGCTCCAACTTCCACTCTGGCAGGTACTATAAGAGAGCAAAAGAGTTGATTTCAGATTTCTCCAAGAGTGTGAAAAGCTGCAGAACATACCACACAGCTATATGACACAACATGATGACGTGTGTAAGACACTTATGTCTTACGCCTCAACTTTAAGGGCTTAGTCTGTTTTAATATAATCAACTCTGGACGATTTCATTTCTTAGATTAGTCAATGATCATATTCAACAATGAGCACACTTTCCCAATAAAATATGCTTGCTGAAAATAGAGGTAGTTGGCTCACATTACAGTTTTATATTTCCTCAGATATCATGAAGTATGCTCAATAGAAGCTTTATATCTAGAATGATCTCAACTGCTCTAGTATTTAAGTCTAGAAATGACTACCCCTGCATGAAATGTATTGTCTAAGAAGAAAGTAGAAAATTTTAACTAACCAGGTTTTACAGTCCACTGTTACTTCATCTCCATGAGAATACCACTGTTTGTTATGAACACATGGGCAATCCTTCTCCTGAACACAGCCCCCTCTCCCATCATCAAAGAGACCTTGAGGACACACACATCCTGAGACACACTCTGCTTGGAACTAAGGAACACAAGGAGAAAAGGAATTATTTAATAAAAAAAAAATCACTACATTTGCTTTCCATTTCTTCAAAAACATTCCTGAAATCAACTACATTTATAAACAAAGAGCTTCATATCACTTCGCTTTTTAAAATTTCTTTCTATTACCGTGAATGCCTGAGAACCTGAATCATATTTCATTTGGGGGCTAGGCCTCTACTGCAAATCCAATGCAAAAAAATCACAAGGGGGAAAACAAGAGGGATATGTACTTGAAATTGGTAAAAGTAAAATCACTGGAGGAAAGAAAAGAATGGGGAAATGACAGAATTTGTTATTTACAACTGTATTTCCTGGAATATTCTGTTGCACTATGTCATTTAGTGAAGAAAGAAAAGATGACATGGAGAAAAATTGAATACGTACATGATCAGCTCGAGGAGTATGACAGCTAAGTTGTATAGGCGTTTGTGTAGTCCAGTTTTGGAATGTGTTGCAGTCAAAATATGTCTTGTGAGAAGGACATTCTGTTGAATAAAAGCATATTGTTCGTTCAGGTGAATCAAAGAAAGGCAAAAGAAAAGTAAGGAGTAATAGTTACTAGGGAAACGTCAACCCTTATGACAAACGGGTCAGCGAAGACATTAGAACAAAGTCAAAATTTCTAACTTTCAGAGAAAGAAAAAAAAGCACAACAAAGAGAGACTTCAAAGAAGAAGTGAAGTTTTGGGTTTGTTTTTTCTTTTATTTACTTTAGTGAATGTCACTTACCTGTCGTTCTTACAGTCACTGAAGTGCACTGGAGCTTTGCATTTCGACAAACACTATCAAAGAAATGCGATAAGATACAAATTCAAAACACGTAAACTCAATGTCTTCAATACAAATCTAAAAAATTGTTTATAAAAATTTGACAGTACTTATCAAAAATAACTTGCATATTTCTTATTGCCATTTCAAGGTGAACTCAGTTGAACTGCACTTGTAAATATTCACTTGGGGATGAAGCTTGGGAGATTTTACGCAAAATGCTTAGAAGGGTTATGATTTTAGGCATGACTGCTGTTTGTTTCATCTTTAATACTATGCTTTTTAATGACTCAGAAAACATACAAAAACGTTGATTTAAATCAAAACTACCATTTGGATACACAGTAGAGTTTTATGGCTGCTCAAGTCACATGCTGCAAACTTTGGCCTGTATGCTTAATCTCCCACTTCACCCCTCCTTTGGAGAGAAGGAAGTATTTCACTGTTCGTACTGATGATTCATGCTGCATTGATTCTGCAAATAGAGTTCATGATAAACCACCAGGATCATGAAAGTTGCTTTCAAAAGCCTATGTTACAGTAAATACATATCAAGGGGACTTTCCTGCAATGGAAAATGTTAGAGAAAAAATCTGTATCTGACAGAAAAGCAAACAACAGCATAACATTATAGATGGGCATCTAGCTTCCTTTTCCCTTTGCTCAACAAACTGCTATTTAGAGTACAGATTCAGAATCCCATTTATCTGTGAAGGCCATTACTCCCATCACAAAAAAAGGCTGTACATCTTATTTATTAATGAACTACATTACAAGAGGAAAGTGCTTTGCTCAGCATGAAAATGGCATGGAATATATTGCAAATGTTCATTAAAGCACCATTAACAGCCAGACAGCTTACTCTTAATAAGCAAATTTTAAAATGACTTTTATCCCCATAAACAAGAAGCCACAATAAAACATACCAACGCTCTTCATCTTTTGTGACATAATCCCCTGGTTCCAGGTATGACCCCTTGTAGTAACATGGGCATTTGGAGACGGGCACACATGTACCCTCATCATCTAAGTAAGTATTATCAGGGCATCCACAGCCATCCACAGGAACAAAGTCTTGCAAGCAGTACTTTTCACCATCAGCAACTGAACGACAGGTTTGCTGGCACATGGTAAGATTGTAAAGAAAGATTTGGTTTTCTGAGCAGGAAGATAGTTCATCAGCTGGAGGGGGAAAAAGCAGCAAACTGGTAAGTGATGTAGAAAAGACGTTTTAACCATGACATTTTTTTCTTTTTGGTGCCTTGGCTTTTTATATGTAGTGGTAAAATAGTCCCTTATATTCTATTAAAGCATAAATGTATCATAACTCACAAGTAATACTAGTTTAACCTTTTTTACCACTTAAGGCTGCCAACTGAACAGTAATGAGCATCATATCCTCAAGGTAATATTCTTCCTTAAACGAGGATGCACGACTCCTATCTCCAAAGAAGAAATACATTACCATTTTAAGAGACTGTTATTTGGCATTTTTCATTAACTGATTTTGTTAAGTCCTACTGACTGTTAATGTTTTTGTAACTGTGTTTTTCCCATTGTTTTACATACTTATAGACATCAAGACAGCGCTCACAACATAACAAATCCTATTCTCAATGACACCACACTATTGATGATAATCAAATAAAGTGATAAAATAAAACACTTATATTGAAGATAGTGTAAAATACATGATGGCTTAGATTCCATTAACTGAAAAGAGAAAAAGCATTATTAGTGAAACTATGGAAAGAAGCTGAAAGTTAAAAATTAGTTTTCTAACTTTTAAATATATTTCATGAATAAATGACAGCTGAAGACCGTCAACCAGTTTACATCAACCAGGAAACACTCCAAGCATTCTCTCTCTTAGTTGCACTGGTCGTTTCCAAGATATTCTGAATCCTTTGCAATGAGTGCAACAAGACTTAAGCAATAATCATTCCTAGTGGCTAATTCCAGTGGAATTCCAGTTCCACTACTCACCACAGACAGTTTGTCTCCAGCCTCCCAGTATGATCCCTTTGGAAGCACAGGCCCTTGAATAAGAGGACAGGGCAGCACACAAGCATTCTTCACTGTCCTTGCAGAGGCAGGTGTCATATTTACATTTCTGAAAAAAAATCAAAGGATTAATAAACCCACAGGACAGTCATTGGTAATTCTACCTCCTCTTTCCTGAAATGTCTTGCATCCTTTTTCTGATATAGCTTTTATGCTTTACTAGGTTTAGAGAGCAATAGAAGGAATTAATAAGTTCAAGTTCAAAGACTGAAAGTTTCATTTCATCCAGATTGAAAAGGTTTGGATGCTTATTCTAACCTGAGACAAGCCTAAAAGTAACTGGCCTCCTAACACCACCTATTTCAGATAACAGTGATGAGCACAGGTAAGAAAAGAGCATGGTACGACAATGATTTGGTATATTTCAACTAATATGGGAAACTTAATAAATATTTTACTATTCTGTCCTAAATAAACAGCATCTGTAAAAATAGACTTAAGTTGTCTCTGCATAATTGCCTCTCTTGAATAATTCTTTCAGGTTGGAAAATCCAATAAAAATGTACATTAAATACAAAACTTACAATCCAAAAGAACAATAATGACCTTCTAAAGCAGCACTTTGTGAGAAACCCATTATAGCAAATACTTTGGATACACGCTATGTCGCTTTAATTAATAACATAAAACCTTCATCAACACTTACTGCCAAGCTGTACAGTAATGTCTCAAATGCTTGACCAATGGCCTGCTTGAAATGAACCAGTCCTAAGGAAGAATGCAAGATTACAATACCTTATAATATTCTGAAGGATCAATGACTGAGTGACATGTTGCAAAAGGACCCTCTGTGTTTTTCAGCAAAGAACACCAATGCTCAGCATAATTTGCTACAAGAAAAGAGAAAAATGAAATTGTAGGACCACATTCATCACATTCACTTATTTTTCTTGTGCTGTGCCCTGCTAGGTTTGCATATATTAACAAATGCAATGCAACAATACAAATGAGACAACTGTATGGATTTGGGGAATGGAGAAATTACATACCATCACTGTACAAATCTATCTACTCTCTGATTCAATTATCTATCAGTAGTTACATAAACATAAAATCATAAATCATATCTTACTGCTGTAAGGTGTCTAGATGGAATTGTCACAGACATTTCCAGTTTGGGAATGTAAAGCTAAGTTAAACATAAAAAGAAGTAATACCACAGAACACAAGACACCTTTTATGTAAAATATTGCTGTCTTTCATGAAGCTCGAGATTCCTCTGCAAACATCCCCTGAACTTTCACCCAATTTTGACAGGAAACCAGTGTTAGTAGGCACACATACTTGCAGAAATGCATTATTAATTTGCCAGTCCTCTAAAAAAGTATTAGTGCCACAGTACAACTCTTAAAAGCCTGCTGCAGTAGTACACATCAGAGGCTGCTTCTTCTGGCAGAAGCCACCCATCTAACTTATAAGCATTCTTACCGCTTTCAATGCTGAGACTGCAGGGATCTTCCAGCCTTTCATCCATATCTGCACAGGTAGATTGAGCTTTCCACGTGTTAGCAAAAGCAGATCCTGTAGCTTCTACCAGTCCACTGGCCGTTTGAAAGTCATCACCTTCTATTCCATTAAAATTCCCACAAAGACCTATTGAAAGAGTGGACGTTTTTTATAATCATTGCCTAGTTTTATTCTAAAAGGGGAAGGACAACTGATCCCAAACATCACAGACAGAAGCTCACATATCTGATTGTTCCATGTCATTATCAATGCATGACAGAAGATTTAGGAGCCCTACTTTAAATCTGTAATCCCTGAGAAGAACAGTCTCCATGAAGAGATGTCTGCCTCAGCCTCTCCTCTGTATTTGCTATGCTCTTTGAGGAAATAAAAACAACAAATGCTTCATATGCTTGGTTTTATGGATGTTTTTAAAGCTAGATTAAATAAAGAAAGAAGGAATATTCTAAGAAACAGAGGCACATGAGTGATAGGTCAGCTTAATATGAAATCCATTTCTAGTTTGCTTGAATCAAATCTCTTCCAAAGTTATGGCTTCTGCCTTAATTTTCTCTTTGTTGAATCAACAAATACTACAGATTACCACCCATGTAAAGAATACACGACTTTCCAGCTGTGCAACAGCATAGCTTTTGCTTCCCATTTGAGTGGACACTTGCCTTCCAGATTTTCTTTGCCTGATGAATCCACAGTTGCAAACAGCTGCATGACTGGGAGCAACTGGATTTGCAGCTGAAGTCCGATAGATGTTTGTACAATGAGGTAGTAGGAAGACGGCTGGAAAACTGAGAAGCTGGCTGAAAAACAAAACATGAACTGTGCAGCAAACACACACACAGGTCACTGAAAGTAGTATTTTTATTAGCTTCTGAGGTAGTGTTTTTCATGAAAATTTTGAGATCAGGATCAATCATTTTTTCCTCTAAAAGCTACTGGACAGAGAAGACATGGCAGTTGTCCCTACCCATATTACAAGCTAATTACCCACAACGATTCAGCCCCAGGATCAGAATCTAACTCAGATTTTCTGCAACACAGCTTCAATGCTAACCTGTTAGTGTGAAAAGTCTGAAGAGGTTTCTTAGGAAAGTATTATCCCCAACACTGTACACATTAGTCATTACACATTTCAATTAGTAATAAATAGATGTTTCTCTACAAGCCAATACATAACTATATATTATTACTAATATAATCTTAGATCCTCTACTCCAAATTAAAACGCATGAGAGGAACAGACCTTCTGGTCAATGTACAGCCATCGCTGTAAACATCTGGGAAATGCATTAAAGCCCCATAATAAACTTCCACATGTGGAAGTGGACTTAATTTTTTAGTTAGTGATCAACTTAACCTCTGATCCAGTGGGCAAAGACTGCTTTGATACTTGGTAATAATCCATTTTAAAAATAACATGTCCCATACTGTATGAAAATCAAATTACTCATCTCTAAATGCTACTTTTCAAATGATTGGTTTATTTTGGCTGTAAGATCTTTCAGTGACCTATATTCACGGAATGTGGTCTCTCAAACTAGATCAAAAAAATAATAATTATTGGATTGAAACCATGTTGCTGTTTTCATGTTGCTAAACTACGGAATGCCTTCATATGGAAAAAGGATCACCATGTGGAAAACTGCTGCCTCACAACAGAAAACAGATGAAAACGCGCCTCAGAACAAGTTGGTCTGACAAAACATGACTCAGAATAATCTTCTTTAAGAACTGAACTGAGCAGATGTTAAATCAACCACTGGTATGTCTCATCTTATTGTACTTCGAAAAAATGAAGGCAGTGTATTTGCCTGTATTTCAAACAGACAAGATAAAATAATCTAGCAATTTTGGGAAAAAAAAAGCAGAATTAATGTACAAAATAAACACAGTGGAGGAAGCAGCCTTCCTAGTCCCTGATCATCACTTATTAAGGCTAATCTATTTACTATATGATCTATTTGCTACTTCATTTATGGTCTATTATAGCACATTGCTCATTGTCTAGAGCACTTAGTTACTCTAAACTTTTAACTACACACTATAATTGTTTTTATGCAAGCATTCACAAGCTTTTTATCTCAAGAATGCTTGATCTTCCAAATAAAAAAAAATATTTCCTGGAAAATAAATTGTTATCAGGAGAGGGATCAGTAACTCAGAAGCAAAATACACTGTGTTGGTATACTGTTTGAATCTATCTAAAAAAGTGATAATGCAAACTTTTTAACTTGTTTGCAAAGTTACTCTAGGATCTAGCAGCTGCTGTCTGATAGTGACATCCTGCCAGTACATTCCTGAATTAGATGACTCCGTATTTACTTCAAGAGTTTACTTATATCTGTCGATTACTTTGAAAGACGCTGATGTCTCAAGAGAGTTGGGAGGATGAGGAGGTGCTATATAGCATACCATTCTTTACCTGGTTGTCCAGGTCAAGGTCTTGGCCAGAAAATACTGCAGCTACTGTCTGGCCTCTGCTGCCATATTTCCTTCCCACAGAACAAAATGGGGAAGAGGAGGAGTGGGGTGGACAAGCTCAAGCCCCACCATGACCAAAGGCCAGGATATTCCCAGTGCATGTACCCACATTCAGAAACTGCTAAAACTCCATTTTGTAAGTGGACTAAGTTATTTGTTTACATTTAGATCATGACAACTCCTCTTCACCAAGCTACATGTCAAATGAATTCTCAAGATGTGTCAAAAAAGGGTCATCTTTTTCAATCAAGCAGCCCGGCCGTTAAATTCCCAGTTAAGACTGGGATGTTTGGATTACATTCTAATTAATTCTTATTCCAATTTCTGAAAAAAAATCCAGGCTTCTCATATGTCTTTCATTTTAGGCTCTGAAAAGGTAAATGCTTTATCAAATGATCAAAACTACATTAGAAGCTGGCTCTGTGATTCATGACATGTAAGGCTGTGTCCTTTACCTGATACATGAGGCACGTTCACTGTCATTTCATTCAGTAACACACTGCCATCTGATCTGAAAACCACCACCTGAGTAAGAGCAATTGGAAAAAATTAGGCTCCAGGCATTGAAAAGAACTGGAAAAAAAGAAAATAACAACCTTATAAGAGGGGAGTCAGAACCAGTACCATTTTGCAGTTAGACTGTGACCTAATTTAAACTGAATGACTTGTGGAATACAAGTAACTTTTGGTCTTCTTATTCAGTATTTCATTTACTCTTGCCTAAAACGATTTATAACAGTAAAACAATGCAGAACAATTCTACTTTGGCAAGTAGAAGAAAACATTTAGCCTTCATGATCAATAGTAAGTTCTTAATCTCTACAGAAGTATGTACCATGGCTTCAGCATGATGGCTTCTTATGATTCTGACATGGTAAGTAAACAATTTGTTAAACTTCCTCACTTTTTTTTTCCTTCTAATTATGCTGGCAGACCAGGAACTAAGGATAAAAATTATGTATACATTATGTATATCTACAGACAACTGTGTATAAATGCAGTTTAGGTATGCCTGTATCAACTGGGATACTGAAATAAAACAGAAAGACTTGTCAGAAGTATGAATCAGACATGCATGAAAAATGATGAGGATTTCCCAATGTTTTAATTTTGATTAACTAGTTAGGAAGGTTGGGTTGCATCAATGTTCAGAAGCTTGGATATCTTGCAAAACGCACTTGATTAGATCTGCAAAATTTTATTTGAATAATATAGAAGACTGTGAGGGGGGGAAGAATGGTACTCTTATTTCCAAACAACCTGGAATACAGTGAGAATTCATCAAATGCTGAGAAGAGAAGGGGAAAAACATTAAATGATATTAGTCTCAGCAATTGTTCACCTTAGGCCTATTTAGTCAGGAGTCAGGAGCTTCAGTGGTTTTATAGCCATTCTGAACTGTTGTACCTATCAACAATAAGAACTCCAAAAATTCTTACTCCTTCCCAGTAATTTGCTACTCTTCAACACACCAGCAGAACTCATATGATACCTACATTTTTTTTCTGGTCTGTTAGCAGCACAACGCTCTTCAAACATGTCTGCCAGTCTATGTAGCCACAGGGAGCCAGTTCTGCCAGCAGGACATAAGAGTCATTGGCATTATCCTGCAATAACAGGAAAATAAATATCCATTAATCAAACATCTCATGTACAAGACAAGAGCACAAAGAGAAAATTGAAATAATCAGTTACAATAACAAGTAGTGCAGAACTTTAACCTCCATTTCAGCACTGTCCCCAGAAGCTGAAGTCTCTTTCAAATAAATTTAATGGTTTAGTTTCTAGATCAAGATCATTGTCTTTTCTGTAAGAATAGGCAGGAGCTATTTTAGAAAGAGATGGCTGAAATAGCTGCTTAGCTCTTTTTCCTAGGTGAATTTGCTACTGACATACAGCACTGTCTTTTAACATTTCTACCTTCCTCTTCTCAAAATTGGAATGAAACAGCAATTCACAGCTACTAGACACCAGTGCACAGATTACCTGCATTTACTCTAGAACAGAAGGCTCTACAGCACACATACCTTGGCCAACACATAGTAACAATCTCCGTGGAAGGTGTATTTCTTCCCATCAAAGGTGGTAATATGAGAGCCTCCTTCCACTGAACATGTGCCTGGACAGGGTAAATCCTTGCATGTCCATCTACCTGAATCACAGGTGCTGTAAACAGACAAATAACCCCCAAATACATGTAAATACATATATAGGAGCTAAGTATATATATAGGAACTAAGAGCATTAAAAGCATGCATACGCTGAGCAAAGAGCAAGATATCCATTGGTATTTTGAATCTTTGAACGTTTATTTAAGATCTACTTTTTCTCTGTATGCTGTTGATACAAGAAAAGCTTTCAGAAAACAGATCGCATAGCCATGCAACAGAAATTTAAGTTCAGAATTTTTTTCAAGAAGTCTTCTATAGCTAGGTAGAAGATCAAAAAGGGCTGCCCCAGGCACAGTCATTCAAAGGAAGATATATAAATAACCATAATCCCTACCATTCTTCACATTCACTGGTGATGTTTTCTCCAGGTGAATACCCCTTTCCATGGAGTTTGCAGTGACACTGGCTAACAGGTATGCAGCCTTTCTCAGTGATATCATCATACACAGTTCCTACAAAGCACAACAGTTAGGTATAATAGCTCATTCTGAAACAAGGGCAGTTGCCAGAGTGGAAACATTATCAAAACTGTGAAGACAATGTGATAAATTTCTATGATTCTAATATAAGACATGGAAAACTTCTATTCAGCTTTGAAAATCTGAATCTATCCATTCACCTAACTATATTCAAATGAAAAGCTCCATAGAAATATCCAATAACAATCGCAGCATTTTATATGGTTAGATAGCCCTGGAGTATCCTGTAGACAATAATTGTCATGTTACTTATCCTAAGGTTAACAGCAAACCTGAGTATTTCAGTCTCTGGGTAAATGATATTCACTGCATCAAAGTTATTCAGAACTAAAAGCACAATTTTCTATTTAACAGCAAAGATCCTTTATGACCAAATCAGATGATCTCTTCTGTGTGTCAGTAAGATTTAACTGCAAAATTACAAATAAATTCACCAATAATCTTCTCTTTTTCCAGGCTGCTTAGCTGTTTAGCCTGAAGAAGAGAAGATTGAGAGGGGATCTTATCAATATATATAAATACCTAAGGAGAAAATGCAAAAAGGATGGGACCAAACTCTTCTCCATGGTGGCCAGTGATAAGTTAATGGGTATAAATTAAAACACAGGAAGTTCCATCTCAATATCAGAAAGAACTTCTTTACTGGGAGGGTGACAGAGCACTGGAACCAGCTGCCCAGAGAGGTTGTGGAGTCTTCTTCTCTGGAGATCTTCAAACTCCACCTGGATGCGACCCTGTGCTTTAGGTGTCCCTGCTTGACACAGGGGGTTGGACGAGATGATCTCTAGAGGTCCCTCCCGGCCTCAACTATTTGGTGATTACATTTTTGTTTTTTTGTTTTCTGGGTGTTTTTTTAACATGCAAGAATTATAATCTCCTGGGAGCAAATTAATGCATAGTCATATTAATTTCTAAGATATAATTTGACAATGTTTAGTGTTTTGATTATGAACCTCTCTGCCACAACTATTGGCTTTTGTTTTGCTTTCTGGTTTAACTGCAATTACATTGGCATTTATTTCCAATTATGGTAGCAAGATGCACATTTACCTTCAGGGCAGAAACAACCATCCATGTAGTGCTCTTCACAAAGGCTGCTGATCTCCAAGTGTGAACAAGTATCCATGCAGGGCGAGCTGCTTTCTTTATAGATCATGTTACCAGGACACGTTTTGGCTAAAAGAAAAAGAAAGGTATTATCAGTTATCTGAATATAAAGTCCATCATTCCTCAGAAATTAAAGAACTCCCACTAGTCTCAAGTCAACAGTGTCTCAAGCCAGACTCATCTTCCACTCCCTTTAAATCAATGGCATTCCAAGTCACTCCATTTAGCCAAGAACATATGTCTGTTGCTAAACTGTTCTCCCCGTTTCTTTACATTTTTCTTCTTTTAGTCTCAAATAGACTAAATGACTCAGTCATTTGCAGCATCAAGCCTTGTAGCTTTTGAACTGGAAAATAACTTCTATTTGCTGAGAAACATTTCTTCATGACAAAGACAACAGAGAAGAAACAAGAACAACACACGATGTAGTTTTCTGCACTAGTGGTGCATCTTTACAGCTTTACAAAGAAGGAATAATTTAAGATGTTTCATAGTCCTTCATCCATGAAATACTTGTTGATTTGCAAAACTTATAATGCTGCTTACGGCAAAAGTTCTCCGTCCTCCATTCACCCGGCCGACCACCTGCATGTGAACACTGTCGAGAATACTCAGAGATGGTGCTGCAGAGGCAGAAGGAGTCCTCACTTCCATTACAGGCACACTTGTCCTGCATGCAGGCTTGGACATACATTTCCACATTGAGGTGTGAATGACAATCAGTAAATGCAGAGGAATTTAGCAACTTTTCACACTCATCACGCTAAGAAAGAAAAGAAGATTACATTTACATTTGAGAGATGCATACACGTAAACTTCTAGACAGATCCTTTCCTATCATAAGAACTGTTGGCCCCTGAAGAGCAACAATTACTGAATTGAGAAAAATTAGTAGGTTCTCTCTGGAAAAATGCAAATTGGAAATGATTCAATTACAATCTTAGAGTTTCCCCTGTCCTTCACCTTTTTTAAAACCTCAGAGCAGTATTTATTGGTTTTAGGGATTCACATGGATTCACTGCCTTTTCAAGTATGAGGCTTTCTTTTTTCTAAAATCAAGTATTAGCCATTGATATCAGCTAGAGACATTTTAGCCATGGACAGGAACAAAGTGCTCCTCACACACTAACTCCCTACAGCACAAGAATGTCTCCACACACCCATGAAAGTGAAGCTCACCACTGGACTACTCACATGTTCATTACAGCTTGGAAGTGCCTGAGTTTCATCGGGGTCCTCACAATTGTCATTGGGTTTGTTGATCTTCTGTAAATTCCCGTATGTAATTGAATTGTAGCTTGTGACTGTGAGAAAAAAATTAAAAAAGAGACCTTGTTTAGCCTAAAAAAATTGATGACAAGGAACATCTGATTCCTGACACTCTACTGATTGAAGGAAACGTTTGCTATGATATCAGTTGTATCTGCCAGACATGGATCCCTCTGCCAATTATGTCTATTTTGAGCATGCCTAAAGATGTAAACTGATAGTTGCACTAAGAAAAGAAAGCTCTGCCTGTAAAGGATATACAAAATGATTCACCTGGAATAAATAATGGGAATGCAGAAGTGGAAGATAAGGCTAATTTGGGGGCAAATACAGAAATGCTTGTAGAGAGAGAGAGAGAGATTTGCTCTCCTGTGATGCTCCTAAGCACAATGCTTATGAACCTATCCGATGTGCTAACTATCAGTGTGGTAGTATGACTCACCTCCATTAATAAATTCATTGTAGATTGGAATGCCATTGTAATCTCCACAAAGACCACATGTATAGTTATTGAATTTGCTGTCCAGCTCCACCTGGTTAATTGAAAAAGGAAAAATGGAAAGGAATTACTTGGGAGCATGAAGACCATTCTGAAGCAAATATGTTTACTTGAAAGGAAAGTTGCTAGATGACAGAAGTGATGATCAACCCAAAACTCTTTCAGAAATACCTCTTGTATTGTAAATTAGGTTGTAGCATAGCTGATAAACACATAAGGCAGGTGCAAAAAAACTCTCAGAAAACGAAAAGGAGCTGAAGTTCCTCTAACCAGATAATCATTGTAATCACCATGCTGACAAAGAAGAAAAGTAAAGCATTCTTAAAATTATAGGACTCTGCTTTTTTCTGTAAGATCCTCTGCATGCCATACCACTACTTTACCACACCACAGAGAAAGGAATACTTTTTGGATAAGGTACCATGAGTGCCAACTGGATAAGTTAATCTAGCAGTTTGGCTCTGTTCAGTCTATAACACTCTGTTAAACCCAGGAAATACCAATGAAGAATTGGATTATACATACCATCAGCGCATCCTCCTGATTCCATATCAGAACTAGGCCTAATTTGGCATAAACTTTGGTGTAAATGTCATTGCTCTCAATTAACAAACCAGAGCTGTAGTATGGTGTCTTGACACTAGAAGAAAAATAATAGGCTTTATATTAGTACAGAAATGTAAGGGGTGACATTAATGTCTTAGCTGGGAAAATTTTATCTCCTAATTTTCTGCCACTGGGATTTTTCCAACTGTTTTCATCCAGCATTTTTAATATGTCTCAATGACTTATGCATTAAAACACTTGGAACTCAGAAGCCATTATTTCTACTTTTGGCTGTATTGTTCACCCTGTAGTAAAAGAAACCTTAATGTTTTTGGTGATGTTTTAATGGTAATGGTGATGTTTTTAGAGAGGGATTATAAAACACCAGGCAGTTTTTCGCCTTTCAACTATCACTGCATAAAATACAAGGCTATACAGTTAAACACCAAATCTGCCAGGACATTTAATTAGTCAGTGGACTGGGTACCAAAAGGCAAATTCATGCATTTATCTGCTCTGCAGGTTTCATTTCAGTGGTGTGAAATGATATTTTATATGACAATGGATCATGTACCAGTTAAAGAGCAGTATGGGAAATTAAATTCCACAAAAACTAAATCCCCAGCAAAAACCGGTTCTACAAGAAGAATTCTATTGTTTTATGAATAATACCTAGGAGAAAAACAGGTTTGCCTCTTAAAAAAAAAAAAAAAGTGTAAAGGCTCCCTAAATGTGTTATTTTTTACGGTGTTCTTTTTAGTTGCAGGAAAAGAATACATATTTTTCTCAACTTCATGCCATTTTGTTATATATTCTGGTATGATCCTTGAAAAATCAAATATAATTTTCTATCTTTGAATAGATTTCTTTTGAAGTGGATTCCCCATTTAAGATCAAAAGTTGACTTCTGGACAAAATCCAGCCCAGCAAAGAAAATAAAGAGGGTGTCTTTTAATAATGCTAAGATGTACTAATATGTCGCCATCTTTCTTATATCTTGATCCTACCGAACTGTGTTTTAAGACGTGTTCCTTCACTTGTTTCAGTGTTTATATTTCTAGGATTAACAGGAGTAATTGGGGAATACTCAGTGCTTTATATCATCGTATTACAGGAGGAGAAAAAGATTACAGTTCTCTGTAAACAAACATATACCACCATAGACTAATTAACACTTCATCCCTTTTGATCTGCACTGCATCTGTTATAATCTCACAAAGAACAGCCACTATACTTTATAGAATTATCTATGAACAATGGAAAGGAACAGGAAAATACAGAAAAAGATTCCAGAGAAATGAATCTGACCTGCTAGGTCAGACCTTCTGCTAAGGTAAACGCAAGGCAGTACTGTGAAGCAAATGAGGCTATGCTATTTCACCTCAGTGAAAGATCTGGCTCATGAGTTACATTTTATTTACTGTGCAGTCAGAAGAAAAGGATTCCCATAAATCTTTTCCCTGACTTGCTTTTAAATCATCCCTTATGCCAGTGTACAAATCAAGATTAATACCAAAGTCTTTCCTCAAAGCAGTTTTCATGTTGGACTTTGAAATGTTCTTTTAGTTTACCGAAATGCCTGCAGCAGTTATCAATGATATACAGGTAGCAGTGTAAGGAATCAATCCTGCTTTTATCCTCACAACACATTTCTCTGAAGCACTATGGTATTATAAGAACTTACATTTGCCCATCTACCACAGCCAGTTTTGGCGTGAGGTACACTGTGAAGTCCTTGACTGTGATCAGAATGTACTGGATCACTGGATGGTTGTTGCTGTTCAGAGTACGCTGAACTTGGACAGAGAACTCTTTGTAAGACTCTTGGCAGTCTGAAGCAAAATTATATTCACAAACGCCAGGAAACTGATAGATGTCTCCATCAAAAGTTTTGAAATGGTTGTTCCCCCAAGTGCTGCAGACATAGTGGCCATGGCTTCGTGTCCTACCTGTTAAGTGATTAAAACAGACAGGCATGAAAAACATGAAATGAACAAGTTAGAGTCCACTGAGGCTAGGCAGTATTTCCCAACAAGACAGCGGAGGAAGAATGCTTGCATAATGTTCAGCCACACAGCACAAGTGAGTTTACAGGAAAAGAATGCTAAGCTATACATTAGAAACCATTTTTAACTATTAGCACAGTGCACAGATTCCATAAATCTCCAGCCTACCCAAATGCCTGCCTATGAAAGAGAGATGTTTTCTCTGTAAATGGAAAAGAGAACATTCATAAACATTGCCGGGGCCTAGGTATTTCTTGTAGCATTCACTGAGGTGAAAGAACTTGCCTGTATAAGGTGGGAAAAACTTAACCCTCTGAGCTGCTAACAATAGCAGTTACTTTGCCAAATCCATGCATTTATGCTGAATTACGACAAAAGATTATTTTTCCTGAGAGCTATTCCCTTCCATGATCCAACATCTGCTAAAAAGAAACAGAATTAGGAAGCACAACAGGAGCTTTTCAAAACTTCCTTCTTTTTGTCACAGAAACAACCTTCATTACAACAGACTTCTGCAGGAAAATCGGATAGGCCAGAAGATAATGACATTGGGAGCAAAAAATAGAGCTGGTGATATCAAGTTCATTCCTTTCCCAACCACTACACCAGATATTAACACTAATTAAAATAGTATCCAGTTAAGCCTCAAGATGTTATAGATTAGGGGTGAGCATAAAAACTGAACATACTAGGGAAGCCTGCCAAGGTACAAAGAGCACCCACACTACTTATCTTCTCATGATTATCTAGCAATGTTTGAGAAATCAGAATTCTCTGATGTTATCAACCACACTAAGTGCATCCAACCAAAGCCCATATTACTAGATACTTCCCTGCTTGAAAGAAAGACTACAGAGATTCTCCCAGAGCTCATGACTGGGATCCCAAACACAAGACATTGCTTTCCTCCCATTGTTAAATTCAAGACATGGGAGATCAAGACTACTGTCTCAAACCTGATCACTGCAGAAAATGCATCACCGGCTGCTTTAAAAATACAGCCTTGAATATGAGAGGTTTTATGTTTTTCCAGTAACAAAACATGCAGACATCCTTTTTCTCCATGGCTACAACAAAAAATTGCCAAATTGACACAGCTTTCTTTCTGTTAAGTAGTTGTTCTACCTAGGACAGTCTAAACATATGGAAAGAAATGTAATACTGAAAATAACAGCTTCCAAGCATATCAAACTAGAGATTAACACAATACATTTAGGCATTAAACTCTCCAAAGACACCAGTATCTACCTACTGCGGCCCTGCCACGTAGCCTCAAAGTGTTAAATAATTAAAGACATCTTAAAACTCCAGTGGCTTAAATATGTCATTTCCTTCTAGCTTTATTGTATTTTATTCTCTCCCCTTTTCCAGGAGGCAATTGCCACTATCTCATTTCTAGAGCTTACCTTTTTTTATCTCGCTCGCATTGGAGAGTGCCAGCCAGAGTATGAAAAGGCTGGCAACTCTTAGCCCCATGGCGGCTAAGGTGGGTGAGCTGGGAACACCTCGGAGAACTTTTCTTTATATAATACCCACTGGTGCAATTGATTCCATCACAGGGGAGGAGATACCAAGGGAGGAGGAAAGAGGACAGGTAAGAAAAATAGGTGTGATATTTACAAAAGATAAGAAGTAAACAGATAGGTATTTTTCAGAGTAAATGAAAGAATTTGGCGTACAGGAAATGGTATAATATTGATTCAGTAATCATGCACTTTTTTATTGCTCTTCTGTATTTCTTTGTCCTACAGGATACTTCTTTAAATCTTTCAAATAGTTCAACCTTCAGTAACTCCTACAAACAGTGAATTTTGGAGTGGCTGAATAAGAAAATGCCTTGAATTAAGTTTAGAATGGGATATTCCCAGGCGATGACTTTAAAGTCAAAAGCTTTTTTCATTTTTAACCATCATTTAGAACTACTTCGGTAAAGACCGAATGATGCTCATGAAGTTCCTGCTAGATAAAAATAACCCTCATAAATAATTATATGCCTTGGATGGAAAAAAATATTTTACAGGCGATTGTTGGATTCCACTGATTCATGAAGCTCTAGGACATTTAAAACATGATACCAACTGTACAGCATATCATTTCCTAAAACTTATTGGGATGAGGTGGCATTATAACTTCAAGAAATTTATATCACAAGATATGATCTGTCAAACATTGTCACTGTGCAACAGAAAGCCCATCGAAAAATTCCTAGGGGCTCTCACATTTTAATTTTAAGAAAGCAGAATAAAAAGGAAGAAGTGGAAAACACTACTACCCACACAGAGTAATACCTCAGATTTGTTTTCTGACAGCATCCCCCTGAATAGCTCATTTTTGCTTACCTTTTGCATGAATGGTAATGTCAGTCTCCTGCCTGACATTAGATCCTACAGAAAGCTAAGTGCTCAACTTTGCCCCATGTAGAATAAGATGAAGATAGTCCTTGGGAAAATCCACAGAAACAGAAACCATCTCCAAATGCTGCTTCAGAAAGAACGAGATTTCCACCTGCATTGTATTTTGCTTTGCAGAATTCCTCAGAATTGTTTTTGTGACCCTCTTCAGAAGATAAACCAGTGTTTTCTGTCTTTCAGAGAAAATGCATTTATTTCAGGAGATCTTCTAACACAATTACTTCATAGCACTGAGTTTACTTGTTACACACACTAGACAAGGTTATTTTCTCAAAAGTTTCTCATTGCAGCATCTAGAAATCTCTAATCCTCTTAATTCTTCCAAGTTTTCCTTATTCCTGTTGCTCAAATTACAAGTTAAGCAGAGCATGAATATTTTGTAAAAGATCAAGGAAATTCTTCACTTAGTCCCTTTAGCTGTTCTAGTCAACCAGAAGTACTCCTTTGTGGTAAAAACACAAATTCTTTTGCTTGCATTTGCTATTTTTGTTTGTTCTATAGTCACAAGTACAATCCTCATTTCTAACATATTTATGTTTTCCCCAAATGCATCTCATATGGCGTTAGGCTTTCTGTCTTTTCTATTTAAGGATGCAGATTTGTAGTTCTTCCACCCATACACAGGATAGCATTCACTCACCTACCCTGACCGAATTTAAGCCCTTCTCTCTTTTTGTAGTATTTCACTAGAAAATACACAATATTAATTGGGGTTTATTAAGTTGGTTTTTTTTCTAGGGAAAAAACAAACAAACCCTGTGTAATTGGAACACAGAGGTGAAAAAAAATGTCAACTGTCTGCAGAGACCCTTTCTCTGATGGTTATTTTAGTAGGTCTAATTCTCACGACACTTCAAAGACACCTCATCTTAGATTTTTCCTTCTTTTATGCTACCCAAACTCTTATTTTAGGCATGTTTTCTAAAATACTTCCAACTTTTCTGAAGGCCTTTATTCTGCGTTTTTCTGTTTTCAGATTGACTCCCCCTGTCTGGAACCACTGTGGTCCCCTAGAAAGTATCTCCATGACTTAACTTAAACCTTAGCCAGGATTCAGTTAATAATATTTGGGAATTTTAACAACTGCTAGTACACAGCAGACCTGATCTTTTTTATTAAATTGAATGCTCATATTTATGAAGTGGAAACTTGCCTATTTGGTCCGCAGTGCTTGCCACAGAACTTCCAGATGGAGAGAGCCACTTCCCAGCCTCATTCGCCGGGAATGTGAAAGGTGAAGTTGAATCACCTAGAGATGTGCTCTCAGTCCAATATGCAAGTGTCTTCTTCCTAGGCACAGTGAGAAATAAACACTTCTTTGAATGACATGGATAGAACTAAGAGGTGCTGTAAACCAAGCTCTGCAAGGTTTTAGGGAGTGATTTTCTCTGCCCCAGCTGCCTGTACAGGAAGCATAATCTCATCTCAGAATACATCCAGGTCACACCTATATTCCTTCTGTTACAAGTCTGTTTTTCCTCACAGTGAATTGTATCTTCTCATTGCCTCTCCTTCTAAAACAGAGGGCTGTGGGTTACTCTGACAGCCAATCTAAAGAACAAGGGAAGACAACGTCTTGACAATTTCACTCCCACTGAATTGGTACTCAAACCAATATCAGTGCAATAATCAAAAGAGAAATGAGGGAAGCTTCTTATCTTCACAATTCTTAAGCATATTTGTACCTTTACTAGCATTAGAAAGTATCCTAACTTTTCTATCCCTGTTTCCTTATTGGCAAGAAGGCAGTCTACCAGCTGCTTTATTTGTCTTTCAGAAATTAGCAGTATATGAGATATGCAATTATAATCTACTTTTTTCATCCTCAGCTGCCTTAAAGCTTGTTGGCCTATACATTTTAATCTAGAGATATGTGACTTTTAGTACACAATAAACTCTGCATTCACATGTACACATGATTCTATTTACTCTAAGCTGACAGCTTAATCCGTTTTGGAAAAAAAAATACATAATTCTGCTTTAGTACAGTGCAAGTGCTGTCACCAGAGACAAGAGAAGGGCATTTTCACATTTAGTTCCCTGTCTTAACAGAGATTATTTCCACCTACTCCGCCGTGTTCCTGAAGTCCATGAATAGAATTACAAGCTGCCATAACCTTCTACTACATACCTGAACTAGGATCCTCTAAAGAGGCAATGCTAGAGATAGGGTTAAAAAAATCAACTGCACAAGTGCATTTGCTATACCAACAGATGCAGAAGGAGAGACTAAAGAGAAAAAAAAAACCACCACCACACACACACAAGAGTATTTTGAGTCATAGCTGAATCAATGTATTGAGAATTCCACCGCCAAAACTTTTATGAGACTGTTTCTAATCACTCCATTAGCATACCACAGCTAACGTAGGTTCAAATTAATTACAAATTGAGTTTATTTTGTGTTAAAAAAGAGAACCAAACTGGAAGATTACACCTCATTTTGACTCACGTTACATGTTTTCCTATATGGAAGATTTATAGTGCTTTAAGGCAAAAATTAAGCTGAGAATTGTCTGGGGTTATGGTTCTAGGAAGAGCATGTAACTTTTCAAGAATTTTGAGCCTCTCTGTATGTGTGAACACACCAAGAAGAAATCTCACTGTGGAGTGTTTTCACAGCAAGCACAGGAAGGGACACTATACAAATCCCCCAAAAAGGACAATTCCATGTGGTCATTCACACTTGTTCCACTTTTCCTTTCACATTCCTATCTTGCAGTTTATCACAGCAGTGCTCCATCCGTGAGGATGCTCTGCAGATGAAGCTGCGGGATTTCATTCTGCCACTCTTCCATCTGTTGGTGTTCTCCACAGCGTACAGATCCTTCCAAGTGCCAACCCAACTGCATGATATACTCGTTTCTCCTTTTTGGTTGTTTTTGGGGTTTTTTTTGTTTTTGTTTTTCAAAGACTGGTCTCACTGCCAAGCACAGCAACGTGCTATCCACACTTCCTGCCAGTCTTTCTAAAACTGCTCTGGCAAAATGCAGCCTGGTTATGAATTAAGAGATCTCTGACAAGCAATCATGGTGCCCTTAAAGCAAGTGTTTTGGTTTCCTGGCATTCTTTATTCAGACAAATACCGTCTGAGCCATACAATCGTTCAAGGTAGCTGTAAATGCTAGCTGGAGCATTTTCACATGCTTGCCTTAAGTGGTTTTACATAGAAATTTAAAGATTAGCATCCATTCTCCAGGCATAATACTTCCTTTTCTTTATCAGGAGCACTTACTGCATTTGAGACCTTGGTTGCAAAACTTCTGTTTCTCTGCCAGTTAGGTATAAATGCTGAAAAATGTGCAACAACACAATTACTGGGGATTGGGAACTGATTTACTAATTAACCTCAATTAGTAAATTGCTGTACTTCCCTTTTAGAAAAAGGTATGTCTGTGAAAAGCCTCACCATGATGGCTTCTGTATCAATACAGGCAGAACAAACATCTGAGGATCAGTGAGGACTGAAACAGTTCTCATTTCTTCAAGCATCTGTGAGATTTAATCCAGGGAACTTGATATAGCCAAGAAGGGATGACACAAAAGGGTCATAAAGGGAACTACACTAAACATTCCTTCCTTTCTCTGGCCAATTTTGTCTCAGTAAAGTGAGATTTTCTGAATCTTCCAGTCACTTTTTAGGGGACACTTTCAGATGTCAGAGAATTTGGACTCACCTTACTGCCACTACCAAAAAACAGAGAGCAAACCCTTTGTTATTCCCTCCCTTTTTTGAGTGGTGTGTGGTTATGGCCTCAAAGTCAGCATTTTCTAGGGACTTTTTTTTAGCTTTCAAGACAATTTTTTTTTTAATGATTATCCAAAATCAGCACTGACTCCTTGATAAAACAAGAAAATGAACTGTAGTTATCGACTCTTACCATTTGCTAAATTCTTGATAAAGGCTTACCTAATAGCACATAGTTCACAGTTCTATTGGCCTGACAGAACTTCAGAAGTTTAAGATTTAATACTGAGTGGCTGATGTAAGCACATAACTCATTTCTGAGCCACGGTATAGCTATGGTGATGGTTACACAAGATACCATGGAAGATACCATGACCCACATGAACATTTTGGCTAAAAACATTTCATCCTCCACCTCTCACCAAAAATCACTCTCCAGCTGGCACAACATACTACACTTGCCATAGTTACAATACAGAGTTATTTGCTTTATGTAAATATTCAGTTACATAATTTATAGAGCCTACCATTTGGTTTTAAGAGGAAAAACTACGTCAAAAGCAAGAATACATCCGATTAATATCAAAGTCTTCCAGCTGTCACGTACATTTTACAACACCGTTACTTCGTAATTAACCTTTGAATCATCAGAAAGGCAACACAGAATACACAGTACTGTGTCAAGGAAACCCTGTGAATATACAGTGCTTACCGAATAAGGGACGCTTCAAGAGCTGCTGCATCCCACACAAGGGAGAGGGAAGGATTAACTAGACACACTTCAAGGTGTTTTTGCATTGTTCATATTTAATCTTCATGCATTTACAAATTTTGAACTGAATCTCTCCAATGGACCTTTGGAGAGAGAAAGAAAACAGAGAATCAAAAGAAAAAACAAATTTATGAGACTTCCTTAATGCTTCTCCCTTTCAGTTACTTTTATTAAATGGAATTCTTAGAGGTTGTCTGTACTACAAATAGTGAGCAGTGGCACTAAGAATTCATACCATCCTACAATATACTTCATACAGAAATCGTAAGAGCTTCAAGAGAAGGACTACCTAGACTCAAAAGCTGAAAGCACTGAATATAAACAATTTGGAAAAAAATGATTATAATTTTAAATTATAGGTAAGAAACTGACACCCAAAACCCTCTGTTTCTCAAAGGATCAGAACATCTCACATTTTTCATATATTTGTCTCCACAAAATTCCCGTCCTAGTATTTACAACTGCAGAATGAAACACAAAACCAGAGACACCGAGCCACAAAAGTATTTACTCTCTATATAGCAAGGGCCCAAAATGAGAGCCGCATATCCAACAACCAAGCCACCTGGATCAAGCAAAAGAAAAATCTTGAATGTCTGAATTCTAGCTCCTCTCTGTGGACAATTAGACATCACGAACACAAGTACTTCACACCTTCCAAAAAAGCACCTTTTCTTCAGAACTATGCCAGAGGAGGATCCTTCTTTTCATCCATTGCTGAGTTCTCATTCAGAGATGGATGAAATATCTGAATCTGTCTTGAGACTAAGATTTCCATCTCCTATAAGAATGCTTGAATTACTGGCGTCTAAGGCTCCCTCCTGTTTTTGAAACTGTTCAGCTTAGCAGAAAAGACTTAAGAGTGTCATTGTTTCAAAGAAAAGGAAAGCAAGAAGAAGCATGACTTTACCACGCAGAAACTAGAGGGACTCATCTGTGAGGAGACAGAGGAAGATTTTGGTCTAACTTAACCAAAATATTGAATATAAAATATAGCTAAAGTCCTGAGAAGAGGCACTTCGGTGCAGGTATAAGCCGAAATTGTTACAGGTCACTTACAAAGATATTACTGAGCTTAAAAAACAATGTTAAAGTCTTATTTTCATCTAGGCAAAAAGATTTAATTGAATATAGCATAGCGGATTGTTATTGATGTATTGTGAGATGTGTAAGAAAGCAAGCAGAATGTTGATAAAAACGTAGAATCATCTTTCTCTGCAGAGACAGAAAAACAAATTTTCTTCTTGCTATGTTTCTGCATGTTAGAAAAATTACACATAAAAAAAAAAATAATAACAACTCTGCAGTAATGTTTGCAGTACTGCAATGTGCGCAGTAAGCAAATAAAAGTAATAAAAATTCTAAACACAAACCAGGTCTGGGACATAAGTGATAATATCTTTTCTGTGTACTTTCCCAAGACTTAGGGCCCGAGTGAACCTTCCAGTACAGGACAGTAGTTCATCAGTGTTGTTTAAATGTTGCCCCACTCAGGCAAACACACAATTGAATAAAAAGCCTTTTTATTTTTGCTGCATATAAACTCTTACAGAAACCACCTCCTTAGCAGCTCAGAGAATGCATATTTCGAAAGGGATCTTTTCTTTAAAATCAAAGAATAGGGAGCATTTGTCTGATAACAAAAGAGTCTTCTTCTGTACTTCACCATTCAAAAAGGGTCTTTAAAACAACAAAAATTCACCTTTTACCATCAGCTCTAAAAGACCATTTCTACAGCAAAACAACATGCAAATTAGACTTGTAGCAATCACCTATTAATTGTTGAAGTTAAATTCATCTTTAAGTAAATTTTCTCTCCTCTTTGCAAGATGTAAGAATCTGGATATGTCACAGACCTGCCTGTTCAACTCTTACAGCACTTCTCCCAAATCCTTTCCTTCCATCTTTACGGGAACCTTTTCAGATTGGCCAGTCAAAGGCTCATTCGAATTAGTGAAAAATAATCCCTCAATTCATTGAGGATGTATGAAATTTTAGTTTGTTAATAACTGCATAAGAGACAATACTGTTTATATACAAAACAACGATTATATAAGCTTTAATGGGAGATACCTTGTAGCTCTCGTAGGAAAAAAAAACCCTATTCTAATGATACTGTCATTTTCAAGTCATGACTCTGTATTTGCCTGATCTGTCATATGCAAGATACTTATATTCACCAAAAAAAAAGAAGTGGAACATAGCCAAAATGAACTACAAACAGTGTAAAAAAAAAATCGTTTTCAATTGGGGGAATTAATTTGCCCTTGTTTCTACATGTCTGACATCTAAACCTTAACCAGTCAACTTGGTCTCCCTATATAATCAACAGTGAAGTTGCGCGAGTGGCTCGTCTCATCCCAACCTATAATGCATAAATGAAATGCGCATAAATCGTGTGTGCAATTATAAATTTGGTTTTACAGAGCTAAATAGTATTTACATAACTCTGTACATTACCTTTACTCCTGTTACATAAATTAAATTAAAATAAGGCAGTAAAGCAAATTGCACCTGAATGAACTTAGTAGTGACTGACGTTTAACTTGCTGCATTTATTTTTATAACGTGCTTTCTAATTGATTACAAGGTGTATCCTCTTCGTGTGAATCCTGAGAAACTCCCATATGATCTGGTAACGCCCATTGCACAAAGTAAATTTAGAAACTTTGAAAGGAATCTGATATGAACTGAAGATTAGCTTATATTACTGAGTCATTGAGCATAAGAATGTTAGATATACACGCATTACATACAAGTTGGAGGAAAAAAGCTTTCCTATTTGACTAGCTGAAAGACAACAGAACAAAACAGAGGTCAGGATACAGAGAAAAAAAAAGGAAAAAAAAGCCTCTAAATTCCTATACAATCCATAAATATTTACATTTAATCCAAAACAGATTCTAGAAAAATGATTGCCTAAATATTGTCAAAAGGGCAGAAAAAATGCAGTGAATTGAAGTTTTTAATCCACCTTTCATTGTTACCACTCATATTTTAATTTTCTATAACCTCCCATAATAAACAAATACATTTCGTGAGAGCTACTTCTTATCTGGAACTGCTTGATATATGAACAAGTATGGGCAAAAAGTAGAAAAAAAGAGCAGTAACATGTGCAAGTAGTATTAAAATAACCCAAACAAACATAAAAGTGCCCAGCAACCAGTACTGTACTCTCAAGCATACGGCACTGAACTGTGCCTCCCAGAAGCCTTTCTCTGTGCTCCAGAAACAACCTAGTGAAAACATTTCGAGTGATTTTGAATATTGCTAGTCACATTTTCAGAAGACAAGCATGACCTTTCTATACTTCACCAGCTCTGGCACTGTTTAGTTTGCATAACTTCTCTTGTTCTCATATTGACACCATATGAAATACAATATATCTAGAGCATCTACAGGTCTAGTCACATCCCAGTGTAACACTCTACACACCTGCTTCAGGAAGTTTACGCAGAAGCCTTATCCTATTGCAGCTTTATGGCTCTTCCCCATGGGATTTAGTTTTTTCAACTACATAAAAAAATAATCGTTTTCAGTCAAGTAGTCATTCTTACCTAAATCACGAACACATCTTTTCAAAGACACAGTAACTCTGATCATGAATCTTCTTTGCTCTTCTATTCTACCTAAGCCACATTTAAATTACAATTACGATACAGATGACCAGACCCTCATTTTAGAGGGTCCTTATCAAACAGTAGTAGGAGTGAGAGAATAAGGAACAGAACAATATCCTTATCTTGGTGAATTCAAGAAAATTCCACAGTAGCTGCAAAAGGACTGGCTAAATTATTGACGAAGAACAATGAATTGTGATCTTACATATCATGTTAAGATCCATAATTATTCAACATAACCAAAACTAAACTGTCAGAGAAGTGCGCAATTAGCAAGCAATACTGACAAGGAATAAAACGACAGCTGCAATTCCATGAGTATCAATATAAAGCAACACATACAAAACCAAAGAATTCCTGTAACACCCATTCTATCTGTCTCACACAAGGCAATGGGCATGATGTTAATTAGCACCTCTCAGGAAAGCGATCTTGAAGTCAATTTGACAAGTATCAGAAAAACGCCAAGTAAGTAATTTGAATTTTGACTGATGCACATATAATGTTAACGAAGGCACGGAGACCAAAACGTAAAGCAACACTGGAACATCGTATGCATTAATTGTGGGGCCACACCTTAAAAAACTACCTCCCATTCTGGTTAATCCATCTCAAGAAGTGTGTTTTAAGATTAGAAAAAGTACAAAGAAAAATACCAGGAGTCAGAAGGAGACACATTACCAAAGGTGTCCAATCCCTGTAAGGTGATTATCCATTAACCATTTGTAAGGTCCTTGGATGGATTCTGATGAATGTCCTAGACTGAATAGATATGGCTATGTTCTTCTACACCATTTTTTTTTCCATTGATAGATGTGTATACTATATTGTTAGGTCCCCGTTGAGAGTGGACCACACAATCAAAAGGAAATTTACAACAAGGAAATCAAAAGGAAAATTGATTTTGAGAACTAAATAATGGAGAGGCCCACTAATACTCAATCCTAAAACCATGCTATCTGTCTTTAAAGATTTTGTTTCCTTAAAAAATGTAGGATGGAATAAATTCCCATTAGTGTTGGATTACAAAGTTAATTCTTTTGGCTGAGTTAGGGATACCATTTTTATATTTGAAACATCTGGGTTTCACATTTGATGTGAAAAGAGAACAGCTATGCACATCCTTCATATATCCTTTATTTACTTCTTAGAGCTAAATTACAACTCTACATTCAGCTTCAATTTTCTAACACTCTAGCACTGTTTTTTTAATGGATGGAGCATGGTCTCCTTGATTTGCATGCACTGGCTTGCAGAATACAGTAAGAGACTAGACAAAACAGTGAAGACAACATGAGTGTAGTTCCCTTTGCGCCCAATATGAACACCAGAAAAATCAATGCTATCTTTGAATTCTCCTTAGGAGGCCATGCCTAATGCAGCAATTCACTTTACTTTCTAGCAACTGTGACTTACAGGAGAAACAAGAATATTACTACTGTCTGACTAGCAAGGGTAGGTGAGAATCCAGTAGTTTTCTGCCTGCCAAATTTAGCTGTGCTTATGCTGTTCCAATCCACTACGAGCACAACTACCAACATAACCATGATAAAAATTCTTTTTCTTTTATTAGTAAAGTTTTATACATGCCTGTGGCCATCATGAACGCCCTGCCTCGTGCTCTGACCGTGGTGCTGAAAACATAAACTGGCTCAGATCGATGGTTTTTTACTAGTCTCTTCAGTCCAAGAAGCAAACACAACCTCCTCGGCTATGAACACAGGTGGCCAAAATCTCAGCTTAAGTAAAATGGTAAAATCACTTGCAACTAGCCTACTCCACAACATGCAGGATCCAAAGGCACTCAGAACAGAAGTCAAGCACATAGTACTAGGCTCCAGACTGGCTTCATTCTACAGGAAGCCCTGAGAACGGGCACTATCAGAAAAATGCTTTATGTAAGAAGAGCTTGACCAAGGGACACCAGTATTTAGCACCTTCTGTCAAGACTGAACTTCTGAAATCAGAGGCACTACTTGCCCCAGAATTAACAGATTTATGAGACCACTAACTAATCTTCTCAATTTGAGGGCTTAACGACTTGTTGCTGTCTTTTCCTATCTGATTCACAGTGAAACTCTACATAATTAACGGATACTTAGCTGACTTTTCACAGGTTCATTTGTTTGACAAATTACCTTCTCACCTCTCTTTACCTCCTTCTTTAAATGTATCCATCTTAAGAACTTAGCTGCTTATATACACAGCAGTTTTATAAACAGCAGTGCTAATTCCTTCTTGCATTGCTAGTGTTATTCCAAGCTGTTGCAAAAAGCAAATAAAAGTCACATTAAAACGAGTCAATAAAATTGTATTTGATCAATAATGGACACATTGCTTTTACTTGTCAAGAATACAGACAAATATTCTTAAAAGATATTGTCCAATTTATATGAATGCAGACAGAGGCATCTTTTTATTGCCTCTGTTATTTGCAGACATGCTTGCTTCCTGGAGCGTACTTTCCTTTTGTTGAGTCTAGCTATAAATGACTCAAGGCATGGCATTTCCATTAGCTTCCACTGTATCATTTCCTCCTCTTATTTCTGAACTTCAGAAATAACTTACACCCCACTTCTTGGCATCTTCAGGTTTTGAGAAAGTATGATCAGTTGTTAGATTCCTTTACAATCTACCTACATTTATATAAATGCACTTCTTTTAATTTTTCCTTATTCATGATTTAATCATGCTGATATTCAATTGCTGTATTCTTAAATGCACAGCCGTCCTGAGTGTAAAATAAATCTACCAATTTTGCCCCTAGCAAAACTAACATATATCGATAACACCTACATTGCCATGTATGGAAAAAATCGAATATTCTCCAGCAGAAAGAAAAGGAAATTTAACACTGAAGACTGAGCTGACACAGGGTGGCAATTCTTTTTTAAAAAAACTTGCAGTCATTATATCTGCACTTATTTGTGCATATGAGATATAGAAGGACTAGACCCTTCAAATTTGATACTATGTCTCCCATCCCCACAGCATACTACACTGATCATATTTTTAAAGCAACAACTTTCGAGTGTTGCTTACTTAGCAGTAAGGAGAGTTTGAAGGGAAGTAAAGACAGAATGTCAGTACAGCCTAGGCTTTTCTTTTTATGTAAGACACAGAAAAAGAACATTAACACACTGAAGTTTAAATTTTACCTATGCCCAGCTTAACTTGAAATCTAGCAATTATGGTAGCTTTTCTAGTGATTAAACATAAAAAGTAAGCATGACAGGAATACAAGTTGAAAGACGAGTTCCTAGGATGACTGCACATAAGCATAAAGCATGAAACAAGTAATGCAGTTTTCAGTTATTGAGCATGTAAACTGCTAGTACTAACTGTTAGTGGGATTTAAGAGTCTTTTTGTAACTATGTCAAAAATTCAAATCGTACTTGGATAATGACTCTGAGAGTAGGTCATTACTGAATGCTTATAGTTCAGAAGCTGTATATAACTCGTATCATAATCAAATGCAGCAGTAACTTTATTCTTACATTTCAATGGGTACGGAGACTTAAATGTATTTTTCAGTACTGCCTGTGGTTACTCTGCCATCAGAGGAGTTACAGTAAGACAGGGTGGAGAAGTATAGAGAGGTATAAAGCCCCCATTACACCAATTTATTTTATCCCTTAGCACTGAAGTATTTTTTATTTAAAAATACTTTACCTACTGTTTCAGTGCAGGAAATAAAATCAGAAAAACTATAAAGTATATGCAGGAAGAGTGTTCTCCACTCCCAGGAATACAGCTTGCTACTACACAGCTATCTTATTAAACAATGTAACTCGCCATATAATTTCTGCCTTCTGGAATTGCACTTTAAGCTGTACTAGAATACATCCAAAAACATGAAGAGTATTTATCAAACACACACAAACACTTTCAATTTAACGGACAACACACACTAATTTTTCATTAGCTGAGCCCTCAGTCAAAAGATAAAGTTCATGGTATAGGCTAATCAACAGTAGTTGGTCTTTCTAAGGAGGAAAAAATATATATTCTGACACTGGATCATTTTCAT